GCCTTCTTTAAAACCTGTATTGATAAAAATCAAATCAAATCAACAACTTTTGTGGCATTTCATACAGTTATGTGTTATTACATGCAGGGAATCCCATTTGTCTAGATTAAACTCAAACACATGGAATCATGATCAATCTTGTAAATCCATAAGTCAATTTAGGCAAAAAAAATTACCAATGAGGTACGGTACATTTGAAATGTGGTTTACAACAAATTTTGGATCATTCAAAATGGACAAGTCTGGTTTCTGAACAGATTTAACAGGTACCACTATGTATTAAAGAATTGTAAATGTCTGCATGTCATAATTTGTTTTTTATTTCTCATTACATGTTCAATTTCAACCTACCTGTGCTGCTAATGGCAAACTTTTAATACCAACTCCAAGATGATAAGCATCAGGAGCTTTCCTTTCATCCACAATATAATTCATGACTTCTGGTAACTCTAATCTTTCACTCCATTTATCATTTTTGGTCATATAATCTCTAATATATTCTAACAGATCTAGTGATGTAATTTCTGGTATTTCAGCCACATCTTGAGGAAATTTAAAATATTCATAGACAACTGGCAGACACTGCAAGGGTCCAAGATGGAGATTTTCAAATGATTTTTTATCTGGGTCGAATTCTATCATAGCTTGCCCCAGTTCATACAGTGTATACATAGATCTTGTTTTCACAAATGCTTGAATGTAAGCATTGACTTTAGCTAACATACGAAGATGTTGATAAACTGGATTCAAATGGTCAATTTTTCGAATGTTATGTCCTAAATACATGACTGTGGGAATGTCAAATCTTTGTAGAAGAAGCTGTTCTATTTTCTCAACTGAGACATATTCATTAGCATCAGCTATATGTTCAATACAGTCCTGGGCAAAGACTTCTATCTGATCTTTAGATAGCTTTCCACGTATATTAATACGATCTACATGAATTGTTTTCCTATCAAGTTTCTTCACAGTGGGAGCAGTTACACCTGTAATATCTGAATCAGTATCTGAATCTGAATCAACAACAATTGGTTGTGTGGGTTGTTGCAACTTTTGCTTTTGCTGTTGTTGTGGAAGTTGCTGTTGTTGTAATAGCTGTCGCTGTTGAAATAGTTGTGGCTGTTGAAATTGTTGTGGCTGTTGTAATAGTAAATTTTGTGATAAATTAAATAAAAGTCTCTCAGGTATGTGTGAAGTTGAAGTTTTTGCAGCAGTTTCAGGACTACTATCAATAACAATAGGTTCAGCAGCACGCCCTGGATTTCTCATAGGAATTTGCGCCATTGGCATGACATAATTGGAATTTTGAGACATCATTGTTTTAGGATGGTTGGTGTTGGGTGTTGGTAAAAAGAATTGGGTAGCAATGCCTTGTTTCATTATAACAGGAGGTTGTGGTGCCGAATTGTTTCTGTTTCTGTCAGGAAACCCAGAATGAGACTGATTGATTGCTGGGCTTGATGAACGACTGCTTTGACAAGAACTACCTCTACTTTGTTCAGAATCAGTACGATGTCGGTTTCTTTGTTTCGGATGTTTTTCTCCAGACAATACAGGAAAATCATCAAGTGTCGGAGGGACTGCTCCTGTTCCCCACCCCTTATCTCTTTGTGAACTTGAAGATCGAGATCTTGAGGAAAGTTTGTCATATGGAGATTGAATTTTCAATTTGACCACATCTTTCTTTCCTTTTTTAACAACACATACTTTGTCCATTCCCTTTAAAACATCATTTATATTCAATACTGAAAAATCAGATTTAACAGGACAGCTATGAAAATACTGAGTATATTTATTCCATAATGACAATAAATCAATACTTCCATTTTCTGTTTCCAGAAGTTTAACTATGTTCAATTCAAGGTGTAATAATTTATCTTTTTTACTTTTAACATTGGTCTGATCTGCCTGTGTTTTCAATCTGACAATCTGTTGGCTGGTTTTTTGACAATTAGATACTTCAAAATATGATTTATAGACATCTGTTAGTAATAACTTCTGTTGACCCAATGCATAGTACTTTGCTCCAGCACCACTTAAATCCAGTTTACAGGCAACAGTGTTCATTAATTCATTTGTGTACATCTCAATTTTATCATGTAACACCTTAATAGCCATGTCTTTCCATTCCTCTCTTCGTTTTTTTATATCCCCTTCCATATTACTCTAATTAACTGCAATTAACCAATACTGAAAACTGAATAAATGATGCTGTCAGCGACATGTATACATAACGGCTTGTTATATTGAACCCTTCAGAATACGTCAGAGTTATATTTCTCTACAATTAGGTGTTTATTCTACTCAAATCCCTACTAGTACAGTAGTTTTCTAACAGCTTGGAAAAAGCATAATGAACTTAAAAAACTTTACATAATGTTTTTAAATGTATTTGGAGGATTTTGTTAAGTTTAAACTTTCAGATGGCACATCTCTCTAGAACTTGGTGCATAATTTTCACAAATTTGAGCTAACAAATTTTTCAATCCGTAAAACAAGTAAATTGGTTTGGCCTTAGGATTCTAAATGTTAGTAAAATATAAGACGAAATAATACAGTTTAAAATATTACCTACCTATCTTATTACTGTGTATAGTATTTAATAACAATTCTGTTTATGATTACATCATCAATTTCCTAGAATGTCGAATTGAAAGTACCTATATAAATAGCTAAATAATAGCATGGCAAAATCCACTACATATATATTCTCAAATTGAATGTTCAATGACATGACAATGACCAATAATTTTGGTAGTATCTCCATGGATGACTGTTATAAATGATCCATTCTAATTCAAATCAGATTACAATTTATTTCATTCATTGCTTGATAAAGACCAAAACGTCGCTCAAATAAAGTTAGTAATTGTAATCCATAAGAATTTTTTCATTATATCCAACACCTTTCCTAATGCCATTCAAAGATCAGATTACAATTTTCCTAAATTTTTTGTCTCCATTGTATTATTTTTTTTACCCACAATAATGACATTATTCTTAACCATTCAAAGCATGTTATGTATGTCCCATTTCTAGTGAACAATGATAAATTATGGGCTTGCATAACAAAAAGAAGCTGTCATATTGCTCTCCTTCTGGTAATGTCTACCATACAATTCGTCATTGCTAGAAAATGAGAAATAAATCAGGGAAAAGGGGCCCTGTTAAAGATTAACTGAAAGAAGCTGTCTGTCTACGAAAATCGCATAATTCCTTCAAATAGTCCTCAAACAAGAACTTTAACTATTTCATGTTTAGCAGAACAATTCTGAGACGGTATGATTTACTCCTGGAAGTGCCTAATCTGGATCCCTTTAATGCACCAATTCTGTAAATGCGTTTTTTTTAATCAAGTGGCTGTTTCTCTTGCAGAAACAAAAAGTTCACAAACCAACAAGACATACAAATACAGTGTAAAACTGATCTCTTTAATTCTATTTGACTGTTAAATAGAAAACTATTATATTGGAATACTATTAATTTCTATGAATAACTAAAAATAGAAAAAGAAAGTAGAAATAGCCCCTCCAAGATTTTTTTTCCTAGCCTAAGCTTATACCTTTAAAAACCAATATAACCAATTTAACCAATCAAATTTCTACCAATTCGTTATGCAGTGTTTACAGAGTAAAAAGGTTAATTTGACGAGGGCGTGTGTTAGACCCTAACAGAAGTGGCTATAAAAGCTAATACAGGAACGGCACAAACGTTTTGCCTTATTTCAAATAGACTGATGGAAATCTAAGAACCTCTTACCAGTAACATTAGTCCAATAGCTCTTAACATTATAGGAGAGAGTAGAGAAAATGTACTACTATTCAAAGCTCCAAGACATTTTGTATTAATCTTATTTTCAATACAACAGCCAAACAAACATTCTATTAAAAGTTATGTTAATGGAACCCCTAAAAGATCTCATCAACATAATTATTCTACAAGAGTACATTAAGTTTCCTCAAAATATGACCAAAACTGTAGTTTCAATCTTAACAAGGAGAAATTTTGATGTATTTTTAACAAAAAAACATTCTTAAAAAAGTTGTGAAATCTTCCAAGATCTCATCAATAGGCTACATAAGCTTAACATACAACGTATGGCAAAATCTGCAAAAGTTTTGTCTCATATTCATTAAAATATTTTTACATACAACTCTTATGTTATTATTGTCTATGTTTTGTACATTGCCTAGGGCAAAGCCCTATATATTGGAGTCTAGAACTATCTAATGAACCTACAAATTAAAATTTTGCAATAGGTCCGAAGTACTGGGATACAACTGAAAGAGCTAAATCCAACACTGATACATGCTGACCAGATTTCCATTTTAGGGGATGATGAGATAGGAGGTGGGAATATGGAATTCCATCGTGGACTGCGTGGTAGAGAACAACAGAGAGGGGGTCAAGATGACGAGAGTGAGAAAATAGGATAGACCCTCGTCTCCCCAGTCTCAGAATGCCCACCTGGTTGAATATTCGAATGTGTGCAACTGCAAGGACCTACCTTTTTAAACCATGTCTCTTATACAGTTGGTCTTCTATGTTTCATTTTGTCCTGAGGCTAATACTTATAAATAAAATCAATACGTCAATTCTTGGAATATTCTGTTATCAATTTTTCTGGTAAGGATGTTTCTAATTCCCTGAATTTATAATAAAGGGACATAACTGATGTGTTTACATGTTTTCTACGCATGGTGAGGGCACGGCCAGGCAATCTGGATTATTATAAATTGATGTTATTTTATAAGGGCAAGGGTGCAGATTGGTATGAATGTATGGACAGTGGATGTTTATTCTTATGACTGACTAATCTATGTATGTTTGATTAGGCTGAATAGTTTTAGCAATGATTTCCTACTTTTAAGACTGGTAATAATAGGCTGTAGATCTGAAAACAAGATCAGTTTAGATGAATGTTGCCTATTGGAATGTCACAATACCCAACTTGCCAGCTTATTGGTTTTTTCACATAAAAAAATGTATAAAACAAGACAATATCTTCAACTCTTTATTCAAGATAATAATCAAAAACAAAACAATATCTTTTTTAAACATATAAAAACTATCCATCACCAACAATGAGTATTTATCCTCCCTCAAAATATAAAATATTTACTTTTATCTAAATTTGCAACTGATCTATATTTTATTCATTATTCATAAAGCATTCATTGTAATCAAATGCATTTCTTCTGTCTTTCACCATTTTCAACTTAAAATTCTGTAAAAAATAGTGTTATATTTAGGCTTAAAAAATTTCGCAAAGTAAAATAGTCTTTTGACATGTATAAAACTTTATAAATGATTGATTTCTATAGGAAAATATTTTGATTGTTAGAATCTTTCACAAAAGAGAGATCTTAATATAATAAGAATATATTTTGAATCATGTACCACACTAATACAACAATTAATGGTAGTATAAATACTGCTAAATTTCTACATCTGAAGTTTATTTAACAGATAACCAAATAGGATTCTCAAGAGCTCAATATTAGCAGTATTATCTGTATCACTATTGTATCAATATATGACATTCTGAGAAATACACAATGAAAGGTCAACAAAAATTATTAAAATCACAGCATTCAAGTGTAATTGTTTTGGTTTTTCTGCATGTTTTAGCAGTAACCTTCAACAACTTTCAACCTTCTTTTGAAATATATACCCTCTAAGTTTGATTTGTATTATGTTTTCCAAGAACAGAAAATTTTTAATTCTGAATAAAACAAAAAGAATCTTTCTTTCATCAACCACTAAATATTGCTATTTACAAGCATAAAAAACAAATCTTGTGAATTTGTATAAATTCTTTTGCCCTTAGATGATTGCAAAACAATAGAAATTTCTACTTGTATGTTCTTTAGACATTGGCTCTGAAAATCGCGTCATTTCATACTAATAAACTGGAAGGACATTTTGATTCCAACAACCATTTGGTACAGAAATAATATCAGCATGCTCAATAATCATTGTTCAACTTTCTTTGTTTACAATAATATTTTGTAAACATTATAATAATATAATGTTTAGACTTGCATTTCAATATTTTCTTTGTATTAGGGTTAAATTCTGTGTTCCGAATGATCAATTTACTGTATTAACAAGAATTTACAGTTTGTTAATACATATTTTCTCTCCTACTCTTAATAAAATGAATGCAATGGAAAAATACTAGGCTTATGAAAGGAAAAGAATAAGTAATAAAGATTGGAATGTACTTTTTCTGACAGGAAAATACAAAAGACTAGGACCTATCTTTTTCTAGAAATCTAAATCATGATAATTTTCCTAGTTCAGCCTTTTTAAATATTTCTGCTGCTGAGAAAATAAAAGAATCTAATATACCAGCTACTGTAAATGTTCCTCCTATAATTGCACAAACCTGAAATAAATATTAAATATTATAATTCCATTGTGTTCTGAAACAAAGCTATATATAAATACTCAGGAATTTACTTAACAGGGAATTTAGTTTCTTTTTTAAATTACACTCGCCATCCATGATCTTACAAAGTAATAAACTTGAAGTGTTTATCCAATCAAATGCTTTGTTTAATAAAAGTAACTGTAACCCCTCTTGTTACAAAGTTTTTGATTGCTTTGTATAAATATTTGATAAACCATCACACTATCAGATGAAGAATTTCATCAGATCGTACATGACAAGTAGACTAACCCACAGAAATACAAGAAACTCAACATCTAGATTTCGACCAGATTAAGAAATAAGTGAATTCTTTCAATATACATAATATCTCTTGTCAAGAAAAAAAAAAGATTGGTACAGTAGTAACTTCACATCTTAATACTTTAATCTACTTACAGTTGTTAAAAAGGTATAAAATGGTTTTCGTCTTTCTTTATGTCTCACTGTTATTGGACTGAGATCATATCTAAACCATATAGCTGGCATAGCTTGACCTCCATGATGGAACTGAATCACTTCCTACAATGAGGTAAAACAATTAAAATACCACTTCTGTTAAGTCAGTTTGCATATTCACAAAGTCAAGCTATTACGAACTTTGTCTTATACCTTGACTGCAATAGCCACTTTCTATGCATCATGGAAGTTTGTAAATGCAGCAATTTGGATTGTAGCGAATCGATCATTCACATTTCTCGACAGAAAGTCAGTAAACTATAAACCATAATGTTAACATTCTTTCTGTTGAGGGCTTTGATTGTCTGTAATTGCTGACGTACAATCCAATCAAATTGCTGAATTCTGTGATACAAGAAAAGAGGCTATTGCAGTCAAGGCATAAGACGAAATAAGTAAAAGCTCAACATAAAATTCTCTATATTGGAGAGGTAACCATTTCTAAAACTTGCTGCTCTGATGAGGTATTCATATCCAAAATGTGTCAACATGAGCTCTTATCAATTAGGTATGCATAGATACTTGTACTATTATTTGTGGTGGGCTTACAATTTACAAGTGTTTTTAATCATTTTCATTTTATCAGTATGAAAATTTGCTCCCTAGCATATTTGAGTCTAAAAAATAATAAAAAATTATTTAACCTTATGCATCATTAAAGAAAGCTAATGTCCATCTGTGGATTGCTTGTAATATTAAGATAATAATTTACTATAAATTCCTTCATATGGCCATATAGTTAAAATAACATTGAACAAATTTCAAAAAAATATTGGAATTAAACAGAGCTCAATTTCAGTTATCAGATATTACATATTGATCAACAATTACTCCTACACGGAAACAAAAATAGCTTCTGGAAGGTTAAACTGTCATCATAAGCAAGGTGTTATTAACAGTCCCACACTAAGTTATTACTCTTTTTATTATCAGTATTAAAGTATTAAGCCAGTTTGAAGACCAGGACACAATTTATAACATGTAATGTTAACTTACTCTATAAGAATAGGTGTATTGATAAGGATATCGTACACCCCCCTTAATATCTTCATATACAGTAGGTACAACTTTTACTATATAATCATGTGTTGCTAAATCTAGAAAAGATCAACATGATGGAAATCAAGTAAGGTTAAACAAGGTTTTTAACAATAAGTATCTTAACAAAAAAATTATTAAAAAGTATTTCCAGATCTTATCAAAACAATTTCAATTGCAACCTAACAGTACAGCTTTGCACTTTTATCCTATTAATAAAGCTACATCAACAGTACAAATTCTCTTACTAAAGCGTAAGCGAGTACTATAAAGTTCAATTTTGTACTGCAATTAAAGGCCAAGATAATACATTGTTGTACTGTTGTACATACCTTTTGATTTTGTTTTATCAACATTTTCTAATGAATTAAATGAACCCTTTATATACTACAAAATAGAAATAAATAAATAGAAATAAACACATTTAGGAATTTTATCTGCCATAAAATGAATCCAATCATATAACATAACAGTCTACTATCTTCATATCCTTGGCTATCCTTTGTGAATATTTAGTTAATCGATAATAATATTTTTTCGTTGAATTTTTAAGAATAAACTTATTATGTATACATTTTCCTATTTAAAAAAAACAACCAAAACACATTTGAAGTAATATCCATCATTAAAAATGCATGACTTAAATTACTTTATTGAAACACAAATAATTTCTTACATCCTACATCACAAAACAAAATCATGAAAAAATCCAGTAAACATTAATAATAAATACCTTTCCTTCTTGTAAATCCATTCCAAAACGCAATTTATGAATAAAATGAGTCATATCTGGCTGTCTTGGTTGACTCTCAGCTGAATGAGTAGACACATGGAAATTTCCTGGCACCTAAAATGTAAAATGATATAAAATAGAATTTATTACCAGTAACAAATTTATGTTACAGTGAATTAACAGGAGAAATGCACCACATCAAAGTTAAGAGTATGTTAGTTTGCTATAAAAATAAAGGTGCGAAAGGTTCAGAACTTAAATTGGTACCTTCCACTTTGACTTGATGGTAAGAATAAGAATCAAACTGCAAGAATTATAGCAAGTTATAACTTATAATATATTAATTTATTAATCTATTAATCACTAGCTGAATATTCCACTTTGGCGAGTCACAACCTTTTCCTACCAAAGCAGTTTTAAGACACGAACCTTGTTTATGAGGAAATGAGATTCAAATCTACAGCCACCTTCGCCCACTGCGATTTTTTGCGTGTTATCACGGAATCCAACTTCATGTCGACCCATATCATCTTGAATGTCGAGTCCAACATCTTTAGAAACACATAAAAAAATTCATTATATATGAATATGTAAGGTATAAGGGGGTGAAATGACAAATTCCCAATTAAAAAAACTTGATAAAGCTTACAGAATTCAAGCAACTGCCAAGCAGACGACCGAACTACAGATCCTACACATTTCATCAAATGGTGTTAATCATAATTTTGCACAATAAATATATCAAATAACATAAAATCATCCTGGTTATTCAGTCATAAGAAGGTTATATTTCTCAGGTATATCTCTATATATATTACATACTATTCCTCATAATAAAAAAAGTTTCACATAAAATTATATTGATTTTGTGACATATTTGTCAATTATAACACCTATGTAAATATTAAACATTAAATATTACAATTTGAAAATCTTAATGTTCTACTATTTCTATACACAGCTGCTACACAGAGATTCTTTTGTCTTTCATCAATTTCCTCATTTATAATGCATTAATAAATTAATCACCCAAATTTATGGGTTGTTACTGTTGTACAATCTACCTAACAGTTAGATTACAAGATAGATATACTTACATTCACAACCAAGTTTAGGTAATGTTATATTTATAAATACTGGTATTTTTTCTGAATGTCTAACAGGATCCTCAACAGTTAATTCACTATTTCTGAAAATTGAAAATACAAGGTCAGTACTGACATAAACTTACGTGTATGTTAGGTTGTATTTAAATTGCTTAGATGTAAATTTTAATGTATGAACAAGCAATCTAATATGATATTCAAATGAGCCTAGTGCCAAAACTGCATAGATTAGGGGGAATGATCTGAGTCTTGAAAATATGTAAATAGTCTTCAGAAGTACTTAAAGAGTAAGTAAATTGCATAATTCCTTCAAAAATATCTCAAACTACAAATTTTACTCACTATTTCTATGTCTTTTCTATATATCACAGAGTATTTTAAAATGACGAGTCGTCATTTTAACATTCAAACACAGATAATTCTGGACAAACATGGATTTGAAGGCTTAAATTTTGACCGTGAGCTGTGAACACTATTACTGATAAACTAAGCTAAAAAATTCAAGTTTCTGATACTAAAGTGTGGTTGGTCAAAAAGAATTACCTTTAAGAGGTAATCAATGAGGTGCAGACTTTTTTCTCTTGATTCGAACTCAATAAAAGAATTTAACTTCTTCATAAATATATTGATAGAAACACTACTCACATTTCAACAGTAATATATAACATGAACTCAGATACAAATAAAAATATTATGAACAGAATGCTGCATATAGAAATGGCTGCTCCAGTAAATGTAGGCTGAGTTAAATCTTTAGGAACTTTACGATAAATATCTAATCTATAAAAGGACAAAAAAATCAATGTGGCATATGTCTATATGAATGTTGAAAGTTCTTGGACTTACCTGGTGTAATAAATATATATATAATAAAAAAAATTTGAAACGTGTTTAGTAGTGTTGAAAAAGAGGGGACTAATGCCGCTGTTCTTGCAATATTTTGCTCTATGTACCCTGCATGGCTTTGACTGTCTTCATCAGCCCACATGATGCAGAAAAGAAGGAGGTAAACTCCATTCATTTCATTTCATATTCATAACTGTCTTAAGATTTTCTTTTTGCTTTATTTTTTTTACTAAAAAGGTTCAGCAAAATTTGTTTAATTTCAAGGAATCTAACTAAGGCTCAAGATATCCCATCAATTTTGAGAACAGACAGTTGATACTCCTGTGGTCTATTTGGCTGTCAAAAGACTTCAGAGGACTGTACTCACTCTGTCAGCTAGATTGTTTGTAAACAAAAATTTGCTTGAGATTGTTAAAACTTTTATTTTGACTTTGACAACTAATTTTGAAAGTTTCGGACAGTTTATACATTAACTAATATCAAATCATAAATACCTCCGGACATCGAACTGCATGATTTATGGTGCAACACTTAGTAAGCGTAAGAAAGGCTGAAATCTTACAATAATTTACAGCTGCGTGTCGATGTTTAGTTAAGACACCTGGCAGGCATGCGCATAAACGTGCTATTTATTGATTGGATTAAACTTTATACGATGGGAGGCAACTCGTCCAAGATAAATATCAAAGACACACTATTAAAATGTAAGAGTATGATCAGTCTATATGACACTGAGCATGATATTTAAATCTTCACACGTTTGATTATTTATAGATTAAGCAAACCGATATTATTTATAAATTTGGTAATCATCTAGCTACAGTTGCTAATTTATTGCACCTGCTGTTTAACGACTATGAAAAATAGGCCTACGAAATATTCACAACTACATAAAAAAAAAAAAATGGATTTAGGCTACTGTTTACAATGTCGTGGGCCTAGATCATAAAAAAAAATTAATATCGCTTTTGATGATTGACATCAAATTTCACACATATTTCATTGATGTATTTCATTTCATAGGTCTAGTAGTTTCTATTATTAATTTCTAATGTTTACATTTCATGTACATTTGTGGTAGACCCGAAGTCAGATGAAGTAGTGACTGCAATCTCGACTATTTCAAAAAAATGTAACTGATTTTTTTTTGACTGCTATGCAAATATTCAGTTATTAACTAATTCATATTCCATGTATGACAAAAGCTTGATTGTTGATTCAAAATCAGTAGGACACCTTCTCATTAGGACCCTTAAACTTAACTTTCAAGAAAGTTATGCTAAACTAAGTTTCAGTAGTGAGCACCATGTTTTATTATACAATTAAAAAAAAACTCGACGACTGGTGAATAAAATACGACTGACGTTTTCGACTAATTGTGACGACTTCGGGACTATCGTCATCCAAGACATCTATGCTACACGAGTATTAGGAATTTGATTCATTATATAAGTCATTATCAATATATAGAAAACACGGGCGTCATGAGTGGAGCCTGGCCATCCAACATGAATATCGGTAAAGAAATGCTCATGATCACAAACGGCAGCAACATTTATTGAATGGTAGCTTTTTCGATTTATATAATTTTCCGGATATTCAGTCGGTGCTTTTATTGGTATATGAGTTCCATCGATTGCCCCTAAAACCCTGTGTGTGCTCAAACCCTTCCGTAACTTCACGAACCCTCAATCCTACAGGCCACTGAATGAACTTTGGCATTAATTCTTTATTGATTATCTCAGATAACGAACTCACAATATTACAAACTGTTGCCTCGGATATACCAAAAACATCGGCTACTCGAACCATAGGGACTTGAGTTGATGCGTAATAAATGTATGCCAGTACCTGCGATTCTACGGGTATGTGTGTATCTCTAATGTATTTGATTTTGATGTAGGGTTCGATAAATTGATTAAGCTTTTTATAAGTTGATGGAAGCATTCGCAATCTGGCCCGGAATTCTTCATCACTATACTCTGGTATTGTTCTAACTGTGTAGTCTAATATCCTGGGAACGTTTCGAGTCTTCAGATATTTTATTACTTCTGTTTTCAAATACGTGCTACCCAAAGAATTGGAATTTAATATTCTACCAATAGGTCTCTTAATAATAGATTTAGGCCCACTGATTTCTTTTGAAAGTTCTAAAGCAATAGACAAGAAAAGTTCATCTTGTTTTTGATAATTCTCTGAATCATCCGCCATTTTGGATCCTTAAAACACGTATTTAACAAACATATCAAATCGCTTTGAATTTGAGCTAAATCGAATGTGACGTCATTGAAATCGTTTTAGAAATCAAAATCGATTTAAGCAGTTGCTAAATATGCCTTAAATGTGAACCTTTAGATTAACTGGTAAATATTACTCTATATTATTATAGCCCTTGGCCAGTAGGAGATAAGAGTAAAGACTGTAAGTAGGTTATTCTACCCGGGGAAATAGGGTAGATATCGTTGCTTAGGGCGTCCACCCACTGGCATCATCAATGTACCATAAGCTTTGGATTAAATAATAAGACTCTTAATTTAGTTAACCTAAAAAAACTCACTTCCATAAAAACAAAAAGGAAGTAGGTCAAGTATGACTAGACCTTTTAACTTTGATTTCTGTGAAAAATGATTTGATGTGCCTCACTAACTTTTTCATTGTTCACTATAAGGCAACCATAGTGAGGCAACCATAGTGGGAAAACCATAGTGAGGCAACTATAGTGAGGCAACCACAGCGAGGCAACCATAGCGTATCTCATGAGAGGTTGTTCTATTGGACTATTGAAAACGATGGTTGTCATTGAGTGGAGATCTGTGTTCATTTTCTTGTACCACTAGACGTTTTCCACATTCCCAATCTTAAACTGAAAAAAACATTTTTGTCGCAAATTTGACATTTTAGAGGAAATGACACATGACTTCCAAAATAATAAGTTTAATTCAAGTATGAAATTATTTTTAAAAAAATAACCTTACAATTTTACAAATATATAAACTTTGGTATAAATCTTACAAAAGTTGTGATTTTCAGTAAGCAACATTTGTTCATATTACTATTTTACAATCAAACATAACCAACACACATAGACATATTCTTCACACATTTTTGAAAGATTCCCCATTCACAAAATAATACACATCCATAATGCATAGAAGCACACTTCAGAAAGGGCAAACACTGAAGACGGTAAATATTAAATACAAGCGATTGTAGTATATAGCATTCAAAAGCAAAATGGAATAACGCCAGTACAAAAAAAACAAAACATTCATGGTATGCCCAACGCATGACATAATTTCAAATTATAAACCACATTTATCTACTGTTTTAAAGTTATAACCACAAGTAAAGATGCTTACACAGTGACATGTCGCAAACCAGATTAATAAACAAATATACAAATACATTCAAAGACATTTCATCAAAATAACTTTTATAGCACCGGAAAAAACATTATTTAAACAAATAAACTAAGGATGTAATAAATTATTTATAATATTATATACAATTCATTATGGCACAATAAATTATGATAGGCCTACCTATATTAATTATGCTTCAAGACGACAAGCTACCAAGCTCTTGGTGAAACAGTCATCACCATTATGGTTACAACCAATAACTCTTAATAAGGCATTAGACATGGAATGTTCTCCATAAAAGACTCCGTAAGCATTAATGTTCCTCCAAAACATCTCAATCATCTTGAGTCTATTATTCAGTACTCTCACAAGAAACATGGACAACAACCCAATTATTTCACAACCATCATCAGGTAAATGGTAACAGCAGTTACTGCTTTGGTTCTTCAAAAAGTATCATTACACACCAACAACTAACTCGGTGAAACTAGGGGTGTGCTGGCATTAGATACAGATAATTTAAAGTGTGGTGTTGGAGTCGGAAACTTGAAGGTTTTGATGGTTGTAGGTGTACCAGGCGATGTAAAACTGCGTTCTAGAAGGGAACAACCCTTTAAGGAATGAGCACCAAGGAGTTCACTTTCATACTTTCTCAGTTGTTGCATAAAGTTCAGGTTTGGGTCGATGATGCTTCGTCTTGCACGAATATGTTCATAAGCTAAATCCAAACTCAGATGGCTTTTGAACATGAGGTAAGCTAAACAGATAGTTACTGATCGACTGACGCCAGCGTGACAATGGACTAAAACATTGCAATCGTTTTCAATCATCGATTCTGAAAAAGAGAAAAATCCGTTATAACATAATCTATTTAAGTCATGATTCTATGAAAGTTCTGCACTGCGCAAGGATCAAGACCTATACTTGAACAAAGGTTGTGAAATGTTGGTAAATGGTAACTCTTTCTATACGGAAATTTGGTTGTCTCATTTTTTTTTCAATCTTAAATGATCCATGTTATGCTACTGCTGTCCATTTGCTTGTCATGTTTGCATAGGTTTAAACAGTCACTTATATAATAAATAAAACTGCCTTACCTATAAAATTAAAAGATGGTTCAAACCACGATGAAAGATCAGCAGTTGAGTTATCGGACACCCGGATTGTCATATATTCATAATCATTGGGAAAATGGTTGGCGCACTGTGATGATACGTTTAATACCCCTTTAATGTTCAGTTTGTCTAGGATATCTTTCTGTGAGGCGTGACCGGAATCTCCCAGGAATATATGAGGAAATATCTCAACTGGTTCACTCTGAAAAATAAAAACCATAATTCAACTTTTATGGTTTATTTGAAAAGTTCAGACATCCGTTAGACCAACCGTACTTTAGTATTAGAAACGGGGAATTTTTTTTAGCTAAGCCGATCAGTAATAGTGTTCACAGCTCACCGATGTGTGTCCAGAATTATCCGGGTGTGAAAGTTAAAATGACGATGGAGAAAATTGAAATTCCTATAAGTTTGGGGTATTGTGAAAGAATTGTGCTATTTTCGTACATTTCTAGTAGCCTTCTTCTGAGGACTATTTAAATATATTCAAGTCCTAAATCAACCCCCGAATGAATATGGTGAATCATTGATCCGTCAAGATCAAGATCCGTTTGGAGTAAAGCCTAGTATATCGAAAGAGTTTAATAATTATGATACATGCGGAGTAAGGCCTATAGTTCCCTTATGAGGAAAGTCTTATTTCGATCCCAATGGGGTAAACATAAAATGATAAAATGAAATTTTTTTTATCCTATTTAACAAATTTCATTTGCATTACTTTTTAAGGACATAAAATATTTGACGTAACAAAGCATTCATTATATAGCATGAAATATAAACTCAAATATTTAAGTGTAACTCGCGTGGGTGTAATTTGTACTGAGAAATGATTTTCAAAAATAGCTATCGAATTATACGACAATATCTGACCTATACAATAATATAAACTCGATATCATTATGTCCTTTAGCGGAAGCTTGAACTTAATGCATGATATATAAAACAGCATAGACATTGAAAGACATTTCCGTTAACGTCATAAGGTTTGAACTGCTAAAAAAAAGTACAATTTTTTAAATTTCGCTTTTTTTCAGGACATTACTTTGAGCTATGTTAGTGGCGATAAGAGTTGAATTTCGATAAAAAAAAAAAAAACTGTTTTTTTTTTAAATTTTCATTGCAGTGATGGATAATGACACGGAAAAACTAAAATACACCAAAATGTATTGTTGATAATTTTACAAATAACTTTTACAGTATTTTAATTTTCTCTAAATATCAAACTAATATATATTATCTTTTAGTACTTTTTTAGCAATAAATATGTTGCGGAAATAAATAAAATTAAAAGTTTTCAACTTACCAAGCATTCTCCTCTAGGTGATGAAATAGTTAAAAGCGGTGGTTGTGTAAAAATAAGATTAGATAGAATAGTCTGAGATACACATAGACTAGGGTAAAATTCTTCAAATACTTGGTAACCACCTGAAATAGAAACGAAACCATCATGAATGCAAAATCAAACTATCATAAATACAAAATCAAACTATTATGAATACAAAATCAAACTATTATGAATACATAAAAAAAACTATCATGGATACAAAATCAAACTATCATGAATACAAAGTAAAACTGTTATGAATATAAATTCAAACTATTATGAATACAAAGTAAAACTATTATGAATACAAATTCAAACTATTATGAATACAAAGTAAAACTATTATGAATACAAAGTAAAACTATTATGAATACAAATTCAAACTATTATGAATACAAAGTAAAACTATTATGAATACAAAGTAAAATCATTCTATATATAAAAAAAACATAATTTAAACGTGATAACTATCTAGATTAAGAATTATCAAAGCATGAAAGGCTGTAAATTAAGGAATTCTGTAAGCCATAAAAATTCTCTACGTTTTAAATGGCTGTAAGTTATGAAAGACTGTAAGTTATAAAATTCTATACGTTTTAAACTGCAGTAAGTTATGAAAGGCTGTAAGTTATGAAAGGCTGTAAGTTATGAAAGGTTGTCAGTTGTGAAAGGCTGTAAGTTATGAAAGGCTGTAAGTAATGAAAGGGGACATATTTTAAGGACCATGATGATATGTTTGATTGCAAGGTTATCAAAAATAAATTTATCTTCAAAATTAAAATAGACCTACTGTAAATTTTATATACTATATAATCATAAAATAAATTTTGACAGTATGTCACCAATATAAAACATCAGTTAACCATGTGAATGAAATACATGTAGAAATTGACAAGTAAATATAAGATTTATCAAACATGTAGGCTGCACCTGTATTTATTGTCATATATTATCTCTACCTTCAGTCATTCACCGATAAAAGATTTAGGACAAGCGTTGATATCTATTTTGATAACACAAGCTTATCATTCAACTCTGTCAATAGACAAAAGTGCGGATGTGTGACCTACTTAATTGTATTGTTAATGTATGTTTGATGAAGAAAATTCTAATGCAACTGTCAATAAAAATATAAAGCAGGCGTTTAAAATGCATGTCACGGTACTTGAGTTATAAAGCTCTGATCACGATTCAAGGCTGTGAACGGTTTGGTATACGCCCGTTTCAATAGCTTTATAGTCCTATACAAATTTTATTAAAAAAATAAAAAAAAGAAATCACAATAAATGAGCTGTAAAAACATTTTAGTATTTTCATTAGTACCCTATAATATATTCTAAATCTATAATTTCGTGAAAAACAGATTCTTATTAAATCCATGCAAATATGTTATGCTAATATATGATATCAAGTCACATGACAATGCATCATTCCAAACAAACCAAAACTTCACTGACGTCATTTACGAATATATTGACTAATATTCTTGTTAACTATACTCTTAAGAATAAATATTATTATGTATTATCATATTTAAACCATATTTCACAACATGTAAGATGACAGAGATGACCTTTGTAAAAGGTAGTCTAGTTACCCAATAGGATAGTAATGTACGAGCAAGTAACCCCTTTCTTTAAAAAAAAAAACAACAGTATGCTCTTGGAGTATAAGCCCTTAGCAAAGCAACCTTTGCCAGGCAAGGTAATATACGCCCACTGCCAGCTTTGATTTTAAATAAAAATATTTGGCATCTAATATCAATTACCAGTATGAAGTATTTAACCTTCAGATATACACTTCTTTTGAACTTTATGAGGAGATACTGAATAATATTACCAAGTTTCATCAAAATCTGTCAAGAATTGCACCTTCTAGATCGTTTACGAGCTAAAAATTGGGCGCGTTTTCAAGAACAAGGGCAATAACTCATACTGATTATTTTTCGATTATTCTGATTTTCAATAGGGTTCATCCTTGGGTAATTACTTACACTCATACCAAGTTTCATCTAAATCCGTCAAGATTTGTGCCTTCTAGAGTGTTTACAAGCTAAAATTGAACGCGTTTTCAAGAACACGGGCAATAACTCATACTAATTATTTTTTATCTTTCTGATTTTAAATAGGGTTCATCCTTGGGTGATAACAAACACTCACCAAGTCAAATCCCTCAAGAATTGGGCCTTCTTGAGTATTTAAAGAACAAGGGCATTAACTCATACTATAAATATTTTTTCGATTTTTCTGATTTTCAATGGGGTTCATCCTTGGGTGATTACAAACATCCATAATACGTTTCGTCGAAATCAGTCAAGAATTGTGCCTTGTACGGTGTTTACGAGCAATGTGGGTGTATAACAAAATGAGCTTTTGTATATTAATGTTATAGGTGTTACCCGGTTATATAAGAATAAACAAGATCCTTAATACTTTCATGTTTAGAGACAGTAAAAACACAAGATTTATTCTCATATGGGTAACAATAGCTAGTTTATCTAGTCCTTCAAAGCTAAGGTCAACAAGCCATTTCGCCATGCAGTGGACAATGAGCGAATTTTCTATTGGCAGTAATAATAAGCACGTTCGTTAAAAATATCGTAACTGTCGGGAAATCTCTTCAAATTTACAAGAGGATGATATGGGATATGTGGGTCTTCATTTTGTATACCATAATTGGATTGTGTTTCATGTTAACAACAAACACACAACAAACAGCCCTTACTTAATCTTACTAGTCTATTGTTAAAAAATCAACGAACGAGAGAGGATATTATATACAATTACAACATATATAATGAGATTTTGGTTAAATGACCTAGTCACCTGTATTGTATAGCTACTGAATATTGATTGCCTAATCTTGATTATTCTTTTCATTCACCCGAGTAATATTCTCTCTTCTTATGATTGCATGATTATTGTGAGACTATTGTGCCAGGAAAAGTATACTAACTAGCAGGACATATCTTGTTATGAAGATAATATTATTCTTACTATTTAATATTATCAATTATTTCGTAGTAAGCTCTTTTTCAGAAATATCAAATCTAAATTTCGTTTGAAGTTGTAAGTATTCAATCCAATTGATGATTTAGTACTGCGTTGGCGTAATCTCATTCCTGATACGCTATATTGAAATTCTTGGCACGTGAACCTGAACAGGAAGCTATTAATTAATAATGAGAGGCAGTAAATATCTGGATTTGAAATCAATGTACTCACCTATGATATAGTATAGACTGGGTACAGTTACTTGTTGTGTTAAACTGTTTAATACTGAATATAGGTTGGAATCTTTATTAGCGTTGGTTAATTCACTGGTATCCTGGTCATAAGCCACTACCAATTTATATTCACCAGCTACTAAACGATTCCTTTTAGCTTCACATGGTACAATATTTACAAGTGGAATAAAACCATTAGATCTTCTCTTTAATATCGGAGGACAATGAATATTGGTGGCTTCAGGTAGGTGACCCTCGTTAAACTTCATAAATGGTCTAGAATCGAGAAGCAACACCTGCTCTGGTCCATGTTGTTTGATAATATTAGCAACGTAATCCACATTTACTCCTTTAAATTCCATGTTCTTCGTTGTGTATGAAAACTGAAAAGATATTCAATTTGTTTTAGGTACTACTACTTCTTACTACAACTCGTTCACACTATGTGTTTTTATTGACTATAGCGTCTCTATGAATGAATGGGAGATCACGTGGGTTCCTGTGTTAAATCCGATTCGTTAAAAGATTACTCGCGCCTGATAACCTGACGCACAGAAAATAATTCTTTCATTGTGGTCCAGTGATGTCCGACAAATCGTTACATTTCCCATTAAAAATGTTCCGACGACATTGAATTCGTTCTGTTAATGTGCTTGTTGTGTTATATATTCAATAAGACAGATTATGGAAAAAAGAAATTCATACGCGACAGAAGTTGTATGTTGAACTGATGTCACAGCAGGGATAGGTGACCATATATAGAAGGTTCATTCATTCAATTTGCACACGTGACTTTATTTAATTATACGCCCCTCCCATTTTGATATATTACAGTATTTATTTGTGTTTATAAATACAATCGAAGGTTTGTTGTTGCTTTTTATATAAAGGTATGAAGATTCAATAATAAAGCCTATGTCTGCTAAGAAAAACATCCTCGGCTAAGCCAGCATGGGCAAAAATGAAAAGCCTAGAACAGTAGCATAAGTCATTAACAGCTTTTGTACACAGGGAAAGTGTTTTGCATGGACCTTCTCAGTTATCCAGGACACAAAAACAGTTTAATAATCGCTAAGCTTTGTTTTGTAATAGACTATTTATTAGAAAAAGAAATTGCAGAAATGATATTTGGACAGGTAAACTTGTTCTTTAATTTTTTCCATTATTTTTGTGAGAATTGGAATTGCAGCCTTAAAATAGTACTGTTAGTCTTAAATTAGAATGTCTTTGCGTTGATAAAAATATAAACATGAGAACACTTCATGTCTTCATCAATTTCTGATAGAAATGTGTTTCTTTTCAATGTAAATTACAAGACAGTACTATTTTCAGACCGATATTCAATTCTCTTAAAAAATATAGAAAAAAATGAAAAAAAAAGTTTGATTTGCTCAGACATTAAGTCACATTATACGCTAACCATCAGTTCAGTTCAGCAAATCATAAATATTGATAGCGTTCTGCCTTGTAATTGTAATTAAGATGATTGCAAAGAATGGTCAACCAGAAAACATGATGCGAGTCTACTACCGGATTTGTATAATCTGTAATACAAAAGCTATTGATGGTTTTTATATTTATACAACATAACATGACAGGTTGATTTCGGTAATTAAATAGAAAATAGAAAGGATAAAAATGAGAATAAGTGTATTCTTTGACAAAGTTCATGATATGATTTATAGTAATGTAGGCTACGTATGTCTTTATGAAGACTTTATTTATTGTAACCTTGACTAAAAGATATCCATTGTGTTGTTAATAACTCTAAATACAGCCTATACTTATTTCTTACATAAATGTATTTGTATTTAAATGATTTTGAATAGTTGACCTTGACCTATAGACCCTGAAGTCATTATCAGTAGAAAATGATGCGTTTTACTTGCTAGATAATATTACTGATATTTGAATTGTTTTGTGACTATTTAGGTAAGGTTTTAAATGTCTATGATTATATATACCAAAACCAAATCAACCCCCCGGAGCACCACTTAACATAACTCATTGAAGTTCCCTGTTCAACTATAAGTTATTGAAATCTTGTTTGTTGAGTAATTTTAATACATTCACATTTTGGCCATGGTATATTTTTGAAAAAAAAGTTCTACTGCTCCACTCTTTTGTTATATTTTAAGGTATCTAAAATGATTTTTCATCCCACGAATGATTCATCAAACTTTAGAACCTCATCACAACCAGTCTACGCCACTTCAACCCCCTCTCATACTTTTCTTTTTGTTTCGTTAAAATTACAACTCATTCAAAAGATAACCCTATGTCGTGTTACTAAAAATAGACCATTTTCGTCACTGATTGTTTTGTTAACAAATTGTGTAGTAAACAAAATTATATACATTGACCAGTTGCTACTTGTTTATATAAATATAATATATCAGTAGGCCAATAACGGTATAAACAAAATAAATTTTTGTCCTTATTTAAATTTACCTCAATGCACATTGTCTGTCTCCATTTCATTTTATCATAAAGAAATAAATTTGTTAGCTTTATTGAAATTCGAATTCCGATTCAATGCCCGGTGTTTTAAGTGAATCTGGTAAAAATCGGATTATTCTCTTTATATTATTTCAATGTTGTGCACTAAATACGTTTGTTATTAATATTATATTCATAAACTAAAGAAGAGATCAAATTATGTTGAAAACATTTTAAGTGGTTTTCACGATGTTACACAAATGAAGCTTTATGTATACATGTATTATGATTTTAAAAATGTACGCAATCCAGTTCCTGAAAATTACCTGAAAATGAATGGACTTTTTAAACGTGTAACCCAATTTTTGTTATTCTCAATTATGCCAATTTATTGAATTCCGATATTGGAGTATACATTTCAATACGAATGTTTATTTCAAGTTGTTTTAGGTAAGGGCCATAAGGCTCACTAGCATGATATATAAATATATACAATAAAATATAAAATATATACAATATGGAGATAATACAATATCATAAAAGGAATGAATAAAATTAATATAACATGATTATGAATATACTGAAGTAATATAAAAACTATACACGAATCATTTACAAATCTTTCTTCTTCGCTGAACAAATTAAATAGTTGCTTTTTGTTTTATTAATACTATTAATATAATTTGTACATTGCTCATTATAATTATTACATTCCAAAATAAAATGACATTCTTCCTCTATTAATATTGACAATTTCTCACATAAAATACAATGTCGGTATTTCCTTCAAGTTTGATTAATTAAAGTGACGCACCTAATCGAATAAATGCAGGTGTGTTATTTCAACACACATCATAGTCATATTAAGGATGCTATCTTTAAATACTATGGGGACTAAAACTGTGTATAGCATCTTATAATTTTAATCCTATACTAATCAGAGGTGTAGGATGTTGTTAAATACTTCCGATAGATAACATTGTTTTGTGACGTATGTTAATGAATGACATTTTGTCAAAGAAGAAGATAGTCAGGATGTCAATTAATGTCCAGTCCATTGACCGGAAAAGGATGTTGACACGCTGAAGTCACACCTGTTTTCTAGAACAATAGAAGTATCAAACCTTATGATGACATAGGCTGTTTGTTTGAAGGAAGGAAATCCGCAAATTTGATAATCGAAAAAGTCTATATTTATTACTTCGAAGAGTTAATGCAAAAATATTTCTATGTTTCTCCTAATAAGAGAAAGAAATATTGTTATGATCAGATGAAATTTGGTAAATAGAATCCACAAATGTTCAAGTTTATTTCATATGTATTCTATTTAGAGAATAATCGAAGCCATATTATATTAAAGAATGTGATAACATGTTCACCAAGAACAGGTTGTACCTATAAGCATACGCATGTAAAATTTTATAAGGCATGTCATTCCTGTGTTTTAACGGTAGTAGTCTCAAGAATTATAAGGATATCAACTACCTTTTTTTCAAAACTAAGTCAGGAATCTAAGCCAATATTCAGAATAAAATAGAAGTGAAATGGTTACATAATTAACTTTGAAGATAGTGTACATTAAAAGACAATGCCCAAATTACTATCTATTATCATAGAAATTGCCAAAATCACGGAAATGTGTGTCATAGTTTCATCGAATGAGGCTACAGATAATATGTCTTAGGCTAAACAATTGTCATACGCCCACGATGCTGATGTGTTCATCAAAAAATAGTGGTATAGCTTTTAAAGGGCTATTCTGCTATTTTGTAAAACTTTTCATAATCAAAAACGTTGTATATAATATCTGAAAATATTTCTAAAGTATGCTATTTACATTTATGTATCTTCTTGATCAAACTGAATTTGTTTTAAAAGGGTTAAAAACGGAAAGTACTAATTGTTAATGAAGCAGGTTGACCTATTTTTAGTGTTAGATGGTGATGAGAACATAGTCTCATGAAAGCACTGTCCTAGGTCACAAAGTAAAGATTTATGATAAAACAAGGTGCAAGAAAATCAGTTTATTAATGTGTCACATATCGTACAGCTATATGATAAAATACAAAAACGTTGGCAAATAAAAAGTACAATATCCGGCCTATGAGACATAAATTAACAATGTATTAAATTAATTAAAAATACGTAGAATAAGCACATCTTTAAATCATAAATATAGTAAGTAATAAAACAACAAATATATATCACAGTTTGTAACTAATCGTGTTTAAATATATTTACCCGTATCTAATTTTACGTTGATAAAAACAAATATAATATTCAAATATATTGGAACTATGACATAATATGTTATGGTAAAAAAACCAAAGAAAAAAACTTGCATTACTATAAAAGGTTATAAAGGATAATTATTTAGAGGGAGTATCAATGACGAGTTAAAATATTTATCTTTACCTTTACCATTTTCTTAGGAAAAACATTTTTTTGGAGGTCCTTGCTAAAAATTTTGCCAGTGAAGGACAGGTGATCAGAAAACAGATTTGGTCGGTATGCATGATATTGGTCTTGAAGATTCTAGTAGTAGTGTCTGATATGAGAGGCATTAATGGCAGTATGATTGTAGGTGGTAACGAAGGGTATTATCTGGCCATTAGGATTATACAGTTTGAAGTTGGTCCATCCAACTCCCGAGTTGTCATCTTCTTTGGTTTGGTTTGATATTGGGACTAGGTTGTATCTTTCCAATTGGCATAATCAACAAATTGAAATTAGGCCTTTGACATCAATGAGGAATGTTGTACAAAATAATTTTTATCAAAGCTAAGACGCTTAAAAAGCACCACGAATGTTGGATCAAAGCCTTCAAGATTACGGTGTTTTTGTTTTGTGCATTAAGTGT